GGCACGTAACAACAATAAGACAATATGGATGAACCTTGAAAACATCATGCTGAGTAAAAAAAAAGCAGATACTCAAACAACATAGTGTATGATTCCATTTTTATGAAATTCCAGAAAGGTAAGTCTGTGCAGACTGAAAATAGAGTAAATGCCTGGGGTTGGAGGTGAAATTGGAAGAGACTGCGAATGGGCACAAAACATCTTTTGGGGGAGCATGGATATGTTCTAAAAAAAATTTTTTTTTTTTTAGTTGAGTCAAGGTTTATAGACAAGATCATCAGTTTTACATTCAACAAATCATACTCTTTGTTTCATCTCTATGATTACAACCCCCCTTCCATGCAGCCACAGTTGTCCTGCTTCCTCCCTGTGGTTAACAATGTACAGATAATTCATTTCAAACTCATATATGTGGGATATTAAAAAAATATGTATTTTAGTCTTCCATACTCACTCAGTGTGTCTACGTCCATGTAACTAACTACACACTGAACACTGTTGTTCCAAAGTAAACACTATTTACATCTATCCCCTTTAGCCCTTGCATACCTCCCTTTATCTTTACCTACAACGTTCTAAAATTGGATGGTTGTGATAACTGCACAATTATTAGTTTACTAGAAATAACTGAATTGTACATGTATGAGTGAGTTTTATGGTATGCAATTATACCTCAATACAGCTGTCAAAAAAGCTGTATGAACCAAGTAAAAAAAGCTGTATTCATAATGTGTAAAAGCAAAAGCACAAATTATTTTGTAAGCATATCCAAGTACGGCTGAACAATGATTGTTTTTGAGGAGATGACCTGGCAGATATGGTATGCAAGGAAAAATCTTCTTTGTACAGCATGAAAAATTTTGTTTAGTATATTCATGTAGTTTTTTTCAATTTAAAAACCTATTTTTAAATGAAAACTCATATACGGTTGTACATGCTTAACAAAGAAGGAACTAGGAAGCTATAATAGGTCACAGAGGTATTATATTCATTTACCTTTTATTCTTTTTACTATTTGACTGTTTCTGATTTGTTTTAGGGAGCTCTGATGGTTAAGAGCGCAGCTGCTAACTGAAGTCATCGGTTTACACCCACCAGTGGCTTATGGGAGAAAGGATCTAGTGATTTGCTTGCTGAAAGATTACTCACTGCTGTCAAGTTGAGTGGGACTCATAGCAAACCTGTAGAACAGAGTAGAACTGTCCCATAGGGTTTCCCAGGATGTAACTCTTAAAGGAAGGAGTCCGCCATATCTTTCTCTCATGGACCACTGGTGGGTTTAAACTTCAGACCTTTCAGTGAACGACTGAGTGTTTCAACCACTGCACCACCAGGGCTCCTTTCCATAAATATTAACCAACCCAAACCAAACCCACTGCCATTGAGTCCAATCCGACTCATAATGGCCCTATATAGGGTTTCTGGGCCTACCAATCTTTACAGAAGCAGACAGCTTCATCTTTCTCCTGCAGAGAAATGGGTGGGTTTGAGCCACTGACCTGATGGTTATCAGTCCAAGGCCTAACCCACAATGCCACCAGGGCTCCTAGGAATCCCTATGGGACAGTTCTACCCTGTAGTACAGGGTTACTACAATTGCAATGAGGAGCCCGGGTGGTCTCGTGATTAAAGCACTCAGCTACAAACTGAAAGGTCAGTGGATTTCGGAGGAGAAAGATGTGGTAGTCACAGATGGAAACAATGGCACGCTATCATGTTTCTACAATGAACCCACTGCTTTTTGTTTTATTTTAAAAAGTTATCTTTTGATTTTTAAGTTTGAAAAATAAAATGAGTATAATAGCCCTTGTCTTTTCTACTCCCGGGGGTGTTGTGAGGATCATATTTATGTTTGAAATTTAAGCAAGAGCTCCCAGGCACAGCTCCTCTCTAGGCCTTTTCCTGGGTCATTTGGAAATTGGGGAGAACAGTCCCTTCTGGAATGGAGACACTCAGGCACTGATTTATTTTTTTTGTAAGTTTTGTGACTTGCCATATTTCATTGAATATGAAATACCATCAAATGTAAAATGCACCATTTTAAGCTCTGCAAAGGAAAAGAAGTGTAGTGGTTACAAGTCGGGCTGCTAACCTCAAGGTCAGCAGTTTGAAACTACCAGTGGTTCCATGGGAGAAAGATGAGGCTTTCTGCTCTCATAAAGATTTACAGCCTCGGAAACCCTGTACATGGTCGCTATGAGTTGGAAAAACCGACTCCACGACACATAACAAAGGAAAAGAAGGGCATGGTGGCTCTGTAGGTTAAACACTGGACTGCAAACCACAAAGTTCGCAGTTTGAGCCTACCAGTCGCTCTGGGTGAGACAGATGAGGATTTCTGCTTCCCCAAAGAGATACAGCCTCAGAAACCTTATATAGAGTTGTTATCTATCAGAACCAATGTGACGGCACTTAACCTCAATAAGGAAAAGAAAAGCTGTCACTTAAATTAGGACACAACTTTGTTTATAAAATGCATCTCAGGCTTCTGAGACATGAAATCTGAATTGTTGCAGCCTCTTTCTCTTAGGTGGGTGGGACACTTAAGCACCACCATTCGCCCCTCCACTCAGCCTCAAGCCTAATGCCTACTTTCTCTCAAACCTCTTCTTTAGTCCCACTCCATCCAATCCTGTCTCTTCCACTCTTGCTGCCATCTGCCTCATGGTCTCTCACCTGGACCACTGCCCTATTCACCTAGCCTGCATGCTCATCTTACCCTTCCAATCTATTATTCATGCCACAGCCCCAGTGATCTTTCCAAAACTGATCATCTCACGTCCTTGCCTGAAAATTTCCATTGGCTGCTTCACCCATCGGGTGAGGTCTGTTTAACTTGGCACCCGGCTTTTTGTGACTTAGGTTCTGTCTGCCATTTTAGTCCGCTGGCACTTTCTCCAAATTAAATTACTTGCTATTTCCCCAAAGCGCCATATGTTTTGAGGCCTCCAGGCCTTTGCACCAGCTGTTTTCTATGCTTGGACCTGCTCTTCTTCAACAAGTGTTAATGGAATGGTGGGGTAAACAACAAAGGTGTGAGCCCAATTCTAACAGTCATATTGGGATGAGAGAGAGAAACAAACAAAAATGTAAGCATGCAATTACCAATCATCATAACTGCACATGGTGGGCACTGGGAAACGTTTGTTGAAAATGTCAAGTGTCCTGGTGTGGCACTGTGGGTTAATGCCCCAGACTGCAAAGCCATTTGAAATGCAAGGTTGGTGGTTCAGGCTCACCAGCCACTCCTCAGAAACCCTATGCAGGGTCGCTATGGGTAGGAACCGACTCAACGGAACTTCACAATGACAACACCCACAGATAGTTTGAGAGTCCTGGTGTGGCACTATAGGGTAAGTGCAGGACCAAAAGGTCGATTTGAACCACAAGGTCGGCAGTTCAAACTCAAAAGCTGCTCCTCCGAAGCCCTACACTGGGTCACTATGAGTTGGAATCGACTGGACAGCACTTAACAACCATCACAGATAGTTTAGGATTGGACGCAGGAGGCATTTTAACTGCAGATTAGAATCCTGGGACTACCTGTGATCTGGGCAACTGATTCAGTTTGTCTTGGTCTCCTCGAAGTAATGCCTACTCAGTAGAGTTTCTGGGAGGGTTTAGTAAGAGATGCATATGATCACACGGTTTCCACCGGACCGGGAGTGGGTCTCTCGGCATAGGCTTCAGTCAGCTCACAAAACTGCCTAGACCAGTCAGACAGCAGGCCGCCTGGGCGTTGGACGCTGGGTGAGCGAAGCAGTGCTCCGCCCCATCTCCCCACTTCAGGGGGCTGCCCTCCACACTCATTCCCGCCCCCGCCCGTGAATCACAGGGGGAGCGAGGCCACGACCCATTCATGCCGGGAATTGGATCCAGATGTTCCGGCGGCGTGTGCAGCTGCATCCTTGCCTTTTTTGGCAAAAAAACGTGCGGCTGCTAGCGGATCCCGGGCCGCCCCCTGCTAATCCCTGGGAAGAGGGGGAAGCGGGCTGAGGGTCTGGGCCCAGACTAGGGATCCGGACAGGGTGCCCTGTGGGATTTGACTAAGGCTGCTAAGAGAGGGAGGATCTGTATAGAGGGAACCCACCCAGTCCCCTTCCCCACCAGGAGTCAAAAACTTTAGGCCAGCAGGAGGGAGGCCGGTTATGCTTGAGAGGGATGGTAGCTGAGGCAGGGGTCCCTTCCACCAAGTCCTGGCCACCTCCCCCTCTGCACTGGGAAGTGGTCTGGGAAGAGCTTCAGGTCAGGGACAGCAAAGGAAGCTTCCTTCCCCCTTTCCTTCCCTCCCCCAGATAAACACGTGGAGGCCGGTGCTTCCTCACACTGCTTTATTGCAGAATCTGGAAGGAGGCGTGGCATGGCCTCGGCCCTGCCCATCTCGGGGCAAAATTAAGCTGAAATGAAATGAGAAGACACTCGATGGGCAGGGAAACCTTGCACTCTAGGGCCTTGACCCCCCAAACCAGCAAACACCTGCCCTTGCAGCCTGGACAGTCCCATCCCTGGTGATGGGAGTGGAATGGGGTAGGGGTTGGGGGAGGGTTAGACCTGAGTATTTGAGGGGGTTTCAAAAATATGTGTGGAAAAAATGGAATTTTTCCAGGAGGGTTTTGTAACCCCTCAAAGTCCACTTTCTTGGACTTTTCAGGCACCCATTGGAAACTAGTCTAGATTTAAGGATGCCTGGGTTCCAGGAGCCAGGTTTGGAGGGCTAGGATCTAGAGCTTGGCTTTGTGAAAGGGCCTTGGTCTGAGACCCTAGGAAAGAGGGCTGAGCTGAGTACTGGAATTCAGGTTTGGGGATGGGGCTTGAATCCTGGAGGCTCCTTAAGAAGCCAGGTTTGGGGGCACTGGATCATAAAGTACCAGTTTGGAGATGTTGGGATGAGGAGGCTGAATCCTGGTGCCCAGGGGGAGTCCCGTTTGGGGCAGGGGCCGGGGTTCCAGAGGTGGTTTGGATAGGGAGCACAGTCCTGGCTGGAGCCCTGGTTTGGGAGCGCCTGGGCCCAGGAGCCCTGCCTCAGGGCCCTGCTTGGCTGCAGCCCTGACACAGCACTTGGTCTCCGTCGGGCACAAAGCCTTGGCCCACCAGTGACGTGGAGCAGCGGGCGCAGGAGAAGCAGCTGTGGTGCCAGTGGCGGTCTTCAAAGGACACATACTTGCCCCCGCCAAGTCCTGGAGGGAGGCTGAAAGTTAGCTCTGTAGATCTTAGGCTGAGTCATGCCCCTCAGCCTTCACCCAACACCAGACCCCATTCCCTTGCCTGTACCCTACCCACCCTGTTTTTGACCCTTGTCCCACCTGTGATGGGGTGCTTGCAGCTGCTGCACTTGGGTGCAAAGAGTTTCCCAAAACAGGCCACACAGTAGGGATCGTCATCCCGGGAGGTGAACTGCTGACCCGCCAGCGGCGCCTGGCACCCGGTGCAGACCAGGCATTCTCGATGCCAGGGCTGGTCGCGGTATGTCACGCCTCCCTGTGTCAGCGTCTATGGGGGCAGCATCTATCAGCTGGGGGAAGTGGGGGTTCCCACCCCACCCCATAGCCTCACTCACCCCCACCCTGTTGGCCCGTCCCCCACCTTGCTGCAGCGGGCACAGCGAGGGGCAAACTTGTTCTCATAGCAGGGCACACAGTAGTGACCTCCCTTGTCGGGCACAAACGATTGGGAGCCCAGTGGCTGCTCACAGCCGCTGCATAGGAAGCAATGTTCGTGCCATGTTTGGCCGCCGTACTCCAGCTTCCGGGACCCTGGAGGGAAAGTGGTCCCACTCAGAGGCTTTGTCCCACGCTCTGGAAGAACACCCTCTTCTACCCACCAGAAGAATCCCCACTGCTCCCCCATTGCCTGAGCAGAGCAGTGTTTATGCACATGCAGCAAGACCCGCACGGCATACTACACGTTAACCTCATGAAAATTTCTACCCCATGCACTAGATATGACGGCTCAGCCCATCCTAGGCTCCTAGAACCTGGACATGAGGGCCTGGGGGTATGGTAAGCTCCCACATGTGCCAGGTATAACTCTCTCAGCACACATCAAGCCTCCACGTAACAGGAATGAGTCTCAGTATCTGCTGAGCCCTTATATATCAGACACCAAAAAAATCCCCAAACTCCGAGCTGTTGAGTTGATTCTGGCTCGTGGCCACAGGGTAGAACCAAGCTGCACAGAGTTCTCTTGGCTGTGATCTTTATGGTAGCAGAACGCCAGGTCTTTCTGCTACGGCACTGCTGGGTTGGTTTGAGCTGCAAACCTTTTGTTCTAGTGTAAACCATGTGCACCACCCAGGGACCTTATACACAAAGACCCCACACATACCAGGCAAGCGAGTCTCTGCCCACACAAAGTTCTAATGCCCAGGGCATTCAGTACTTGCTAAGTCCTTGCATATCCCAGGCATGCCATTGTTCACCAGTTCCCAAACATGTTAAGTCCTTTGTTTTAAATGCCAAAACACCAGATGTGAGAGTCTCAACATACCTTTAGCTCCTATATGTACCAAACATGCATGTTTTTATACATGTTACAGCCTCAGGTGTCTATCAACATGTTAGTCTGACTGCACATGCTAAGTAAGCCCCAGGCCTGCTGGTGCAGCACACACAAAGTCCTCAGGAATGGACCAAACTTGTCAGTTCCTGAACATGTTAAGCTCTCATGTGTATGTATACCTGGGTTTGTCAGACCTTTGCATGCTAAGCCCCAAGAGCATACAAGTATGGCACATATTAAATTTTCCAGAACATACTGTGCATGCACATCCATGTGTGTATCAGCTAGGCATGCCAGGCATCCAGTGAGCCCCTGGGGACGTACCAGGCATGACGGTCTCCCCACAGGCAGAGCACTGTGAGGAGAAGGCACTGCAGTAACATTCATTGCAGAGCAGTTCGCTGTCCTGGCAGGTGAAGGGTTCATCGGCCAGGGAGCGCTGGCAGCGGCAGCAGCGGAAGCAGCCCTCATGGAAGTGGCGGTCTTCATAGAACAGCTCCTGCCAATCACAGCACAAGGGGGAGGGCAGCACTGGTATCCAGGCCTGGTGGATCTACTTTTGGCCCTCTCCCTCAGCTCCTACCCACCTTCCCTGCCCCTATATTTGGTCCCGTCCTCACCCTTGAGTCATGCCCGATCAGCTGCTGGCACTCAGCACAGGTGTTGGCAAAGGTGTTGTCATAGCAGGGCACGCAGTGCGGACCGCCGTCTGTCTGGATGTACTTGCGGCCATACAAGGATTCACCACATTTTGCACAGTCAAAGGCTTCACTCATGTTGCACTGTGGGTGGGGCCTGTTAGGAACACAAGATGGGGCAGGCGTCACCCAGAGGGGCTGTGGCTGAGGCCCTTGCAAGGGCCTTTTGCATCGAAGAATGGGACCAGGCCTAGGAAATGCCAGGTCAGAGCAGGTGAAGCTGGGGAAGGGGTGCCTCTGGGAATCCAGGCGGCCTGCAGGTTTATTTCTGTATTAATGGGGGTGGGTGGGAAGGGGCCAGGAAAGGATCAGGAAGCAGAAGTTGCTTTCTTTTTTAGGCCCTGGCAGATCTTGGGGGAGGGGGCTTTTCCCAGGTCAGTGACTCATTTCCTGCCCCAGCCTGAATTTAGTAACCACTGTCCCAGTTGTAAGAAGACCTGGTGGTTCAATGCTTAAAGCACTCAGCTGTGACCCAAAGGCCAGTGATTTGAACCTACCAGTTACTCAGCAGGAAAAAGATGCAGCCATCGGCCATCATAAAGATTGACAGCCTGAGAAACACAATGGGGCAGGTCTACTCTTTCCTATAGGACCACTGTGGATTGGAATGGACTCAGTGGGTTTGGGTTCTGGTCCCTAAGGTAGCAGGAACAGGGGCAAGAAGCCACCCCACCCTACTCCGTATGACCAGCATCCTCACCTCTTCTGCCTCCCAGAAAGAGACCTAGTGATGAGGACAAAGGAACTTTGACCAGCTATCTGGAGTAGGGAGTTAGGGAAGGGAATGGGTTGTCCCCACCCCCTCCTGATCCAGGAAACCACAGAATGCTTAGGTGGCTATTAGACAGATAAATAGGGGAGACAGTGTGAGAAGTCTGGCCTCCCCTCCCAGGAGAATCAACCAAGCAACAGGGGGCAACAGGGGCTTCAGAGGCTCAGCCTAGGTTTCAGCAGGAAGGAAATCCTGCAAGCTGGACAGGGCCAGACTTCCCCATCTGGGCCCTCTGCCCTCATCCCCCTCCACTCCTGCTGTGTCTCTGCTCACGCAGGCCTGGGCAGCCTTGGCCTGTAACATCTGCAGCAGCTGTGATAACCCAGATGGCCAGATGGCAAGTTCTGCCAGCAACAGGGGAGAAAAATGGGAAAAGTGCTTGGGGAAGAGAGACGCCATGGAGACAAAAAGGGAGGGAGGAAAGGAGGGAGAGAGAGAGAGAGAGAGAGAGAGAGAGAGAGAGAGAGAGGTACCTCCTCAATCACCCCTGGCAGCATCTGGTGCCGCCCCTGGGGTCAGTTTCCCCTCTTCCTGACTCTGGAAGAGACAGCCTCTTCCTAGCTCTTCTGATTTCTAGGGGTTTGGGCCAGGGAGGGCAGAGGAAAGGAGTGGGAGCCATTGAAGACATTTCTCTCCCCAATTCAGGCCCCCCTTGGGTGGGGGAGTGAGGCAAGGGGGAGCCCTGAGAACTGTTGTAGCAGACACCCAGCCCCCCCACCAAACCTCAGACACTTTCCATTTTCTCAGGAACAAAGCATGTTTGCGGGATGAGGTCATGCACACAGCTGCCTGTGGAACAGGAGCGTGGGGAGGTGGTGGGGGGTGTAGGGAAGTGGGGTCCCAGTCCCTTCTAGGGCCTCGAATCGCAGTCTCTAGCCCCAAAGTCAGAGCTCCCCAGCCCTGGCCTCCTTTGCCATTAAGCTGGCTGTCTAAGTGCCAGGATCCAGGGCGGGTGGAATGGAGCCACCAGGACCCATAGGAAGGCAAGGAAAAACCAAGCCACAGATGAGTCTGGGGGAAGTTCAAGAAATATACAAAGAACCGCCCCCAATCCACACCCTCCCCTATTAGACTCCAGTGACCGGCTGTCCCCAGAGCCTTCCCTGGATCAAGTTGAAGGAAAAGCCCTCCATTTCTCAGTCACCACAAGTGGGAAATCCTCGCCAACAAGTATTGCTCTGGCTTGGAGTCCAGACTCCAGGCGCCAGCAGGCACCCCAACCCTGGTGTGTGTGTGTGTGTGTGTGTGTGTGTGTGTGTGTCTCCTCGGAAGGGCCAGCTCGTGACCTTCCCTTCTGTACAATGGGAGAGCAGCCCAGTGGTTACTCTGGGCCAGGGCACAAGGCCATCAGAAGCTGGGGTCTTCAAAGCAGGACTCCTGGGGCTGGGACTATGCAGCGAGGTGCCCTTCCCTCTCTCAGTAGCCTATGCTGCCCAACCCCAGACCCAGGTTTCCTCTGGCCCAGCATCTCAAGTTGGTCTGGGCAGTCAGCCACTGAGCAGGAGGGGCCTCTGCAGGTGGAGAGTGTGGCCCCATGCCCCCCGGGGATCTTTCCTGCCTTCCTGGCTTGGCCTGCAGCAGCCGCCACCTTCCCAGGCCCAGGCTAGCCCTGGGCCCGCCCGGCCTCCGGGAAGCAGTCGGCACTCTAAGACAGAAGCACCCCAAATAGGGCATGGGTGTGGCTTATTTTCTTCCCAGAATCCCCTTCTGTCCAGCTGGGCTCTGAGGACAGAATGAAGGGCACTATCAAGGCCCACCTGTCTCTGTCCATCCCCACTTCTCCTCCCTTGGGAGCTAGATGGTAGGGGAGGGGGTAGTAGAGAGGGTGAGGAGATTGCTGTCTGCCAGCTGGCTCAGTTTCAGCCCTCCCCCCAGCACACAGACATACACCCTGACCTGGACATACACACACCTGGCACCTCCCTGAAAGCCTCCTGGGAACTCAGAATGGCTGGACAATGGACTTGGTATATGGTGCAAAACCACAAATCTGGGTTTGAAAATCCTGGCTCCTATAGTGGTTACGAATTGGGCTGCGAACCTTAAGGCCAGCAGTTCGAATCTACCAGCCGTTCAGCGGGAGAAAGATGAGGCTGTCTGCTCCCGTAAAGATTTACAGCCTCGGAAACCCTGTACAGGGTCACTATGGGTCAGAACCGACTCGAAGGCACTTAACAACAACAACAACATTTACTTACTAGCTGGGTTACCTTGGGCAACTCGTTTAAGTTCCCTGAGCCTGCTTTCCCATCCAATTCAATGAGATAATACTATTTCCTCCCTCCCCAGTCTCTCCAGAGAAACTCTATGCAGACAAGGTCGCACTGTAAGTTGGAACCACCTCCACGGCAATTCACCTCCACGGCAATTAACAAAGGGTTGCTGTAGAGATGAACTCCGAGGATACTTGTAAAGCACTGGCAGTAAATGTTGGCTATGCTTGTCTTTTTGTTCTAAGTTGTTGTTGTTGTTGTTAAGTGCCGTTGAGTCGGTTCCAACCCATAGCGACCCTGTACAGGGTTTCCGAGGGTGTAAATCTTTACGGGAGTAGAAAGCCTCATCTTTCTCCCGCGGAGCAGCTGGTAGTTTCGAACCGCTGACCTTAAGGTTCGCAGCCCGATTCGTAACCACTACGCTTTGTTCTAAGTTACTCTCTCATTATTGGGTCAGATAGCAGTTTCTCACCAGGCCAAGTGATAGGGATTCAGTTATGTTCCTCCAAAAATATATGCTGTAAATCCTAACCTCTATGACTAGTTTGGGAGTCCTGTAGCGCAGTGGTTAAGCATTTGGTTACTAACCGAAAGGTTGGTGGTCCAAAGCCACCAGTTGCTCCCAGGAAGAAAGATGTGGCAGTCTGCTTCTATGAAGACTTAGAAACCCAACGGGCAATACTATTCTGTCCTGTAGAGTCCCTATGAGTCAGAATCTACTAGAGATAACAAGAGGTTTGTTTGGGTTTATGCCTATGGTTATAATCCCATTTGGGAATGGGTTGTCTTTGTTATGCTGGTGAGACAAGATTAGTGTAGGGTGTAGTTTGAGTCAGTCTCTTATGAAATATAAAATAAATAAATGAAAGCTACAATCAGAGAAGGGAAAAGTGAGGGGCCAATGCTCATGAAGAAAACCCAGGAGCAGAAACTCAGAAGAAACAAGGACCTCCCTTCACTGTTAACAGAGAAGACTTTCTCCTAGAGAGAAATTCACCCTGAATTCAGATCCATAACTTCCGAAACTGTGAGAAACTAACTTTGTTTGTCAAATCTATCGCAGCGCTAGATTAAAGGGAGCCAGCCTAGGTTTGATCTACCTTTCTCAGTGTATGCCCAGGGATAGAACAGAGAGCGAACCCCCTTATCCTATGGGGGAACAGATGAGGCCTCCAGGCCCCTGGGGCTTTCTAAGGAGACCAGGAAGGAGGGCTAGTTGTGGCTTTGGCCCAGAGAGCAGAACTCTGCCTGCAACCCTCCCACAGACACAGATGTGTGCACACCTACCTGCTTCTCTGCCCTCCCAAAGTGCATTCACACCTTCTACCTCATCAGGACTCACAAAAGGCAGCTCCCACTTGGCAGCTGAGCACAGAAGAGCCAGGGCAGGGTGGTGTTCAAGGCCACCTGTACTCACAGAGCCAAGCTCTCTGCCACCCAGCCTACAGATCTTTCTTGCATTTCTACCTGGAAGTCCTCTGAAAGGGCTTTGGTGGTGGTGGAGGGGATGGAGGTCAGAATTTAAGTGTAAGTGAACAGGAGATGATGCTGGAGAACATCATCAGAACTGGAGCTTGGCTCTTTTTTCCTTCTACCCACCAGCTGCCAGCTCTACCATTGGAAGACACCCAGAAGCCTTTCCAATTGCCCATGCCAACCACTCAACCCTTTTGTACGTCCCCTCCCCCACTGTCCAGGAAGGCCCCACAGCTGTGGGTCAGGATCAGGACATACCCCTCCCCCAGCTCCCAGGAGCTGACAGGAGACTTAAGGGGAGTCAACCCCCATCCAGGGCACCAACCCCAAACTCTTCTCACTCCTTCCCCCCAGGGGCCTAGAAGTCAGCAAAGCTTAGTGGAAGGGGGATGGGGTGCAGGATCCCGCAGCTGCTCTGGGGACATGAGAGGAACAGTTCATTCACCCCAGGTCCCCCAGGGCTGAAGCAGTGCTTCCAAGATTTGAGTTTAAAAATAAGTTGGGGCTGTGTTGATGACTGTGTGTGTTCGTGAGGCTGCTTCATGATCTGAGTCTTACTGTCCCAGGTCCTGGGCCTCAAGGAGGCTCAGATGGCACCATGATGCTTGCCTACGTTC